AAATGATCCTGCAAGCCTGCCTCTTGAATTATCTGTCCAAATGTGGAGAGGGGGGTTGGAGGGGTGGATTCTTGCATGTCTGGAATATGGACTTTACCATGGGCAACGCAAGCCATCCATATGTGGGCACAGTGTGCTTTCTGATTGATTTTGTTTTCTTTGTTTCACTAAGACCCATTTCACACAACAAGGGTCCCTTGCTTCTTTTCAGGGATAAGCCCACTGTTGTACAGGAGCTCCACTCCTGCTGTGCAAGATCCGAAGTAGAGCAAGTGCCTGAGGAAAGCAGGGGAATCAATATTTCATCCTTGGTCCTGGGGTGCAAAGTCAAGACCTGTTGCTCTAGTAAGTTAGTCCTTAGACCAGCCTTTGCCAGGACCCTGAGCTAGGACATTGTCACAAACCAATAGCTCCCAGGCCGCGACTCCCATACTGCCAATTGGTAACTGTGCCCTGGCAGAATCCACAGTGATTTGAAAAAGGTGCTGTTAGGAACTTTCCAGACAGTGTTTGCAGAGCAGCTTGTGTGTTTACGCGTGGAAGAGAGAGTGAGAAAGTGTGAAGGAGGGGAAATTCCGGGGTCCACCCACCACCTGCATATCCTCCCCATTCCCCCATCCATCACTGCATCCATCACAGCTTGAAGTTGCCTCTTTGGTTTGCACTGGAAATCTCAGTTCTTGGAAACTTTGCAGGAAGACCACTGAGTTTGCTAAAAATGGAAAATAATCTAATTAAATTGTTCAGTTCCTGCTGTGCAACAAATTAGCCTCTTCTTTCCCTCAAGTATCGCTTGCCAGAACGTAAAGTTAGCAACACTCAATGCATTCTATGAGACTGGCGCCCTTTACAAATGACATCCCTCATTGGTCTGGCTGCATCACACTGCCAGATTTATTTCTCCTGTATTGAATTGTTTTACCCAAGTCTGAGAGTTTGTGTTAGGTTATGTGAGAGGAAAGAGAATTTCAGGAGACAAAATGGAGGTGGGAAGGGTAGAGAGGACATCATTGGAGAAGGAACTTTATTTTATATATGTTTAAATCTAGATTGTCAAGATAGCTTACAAAAGCGTGCAATAAAACAAAATTAAAAAGATTAAATACATTGCAAATAAAAGCTGTATTCACAGCTATGCAAGAAGAAACAAAGCCTTCAAGACAGCAAATCTAAAATCAAGTTATGTCCTGGACAATCGTGCTAATAAAATATCTACACTTTTATCACATGAAACTCTATGAAAAGTCCTCTAGAATTCAAAGGCTGCCACAGAAAAATTCCTGACCTCTCATCAATGGGAAGGATTCCTGGAAGGGCCCCAGATGCTGAGCAGGAAGTGCGTGTAGAAGGAAGTGGTTATTTAGGTTCTAGAGTCACAAGTTCTATACAAATTTGAAACATTAAAGCAACTGCTCCAGTTGTGCCAGGAAATGATGGGAGGCCAGTAAAGTTATATTAAAATAGTCTAGATATGATCTGAATTGTCCGATCGATACTTTTGTTGCTATGTTTTGCACCTGTTGCAAAAGCAGTCTTCTCCAAAGGCCCATGAAACATTTCACAACAGAATAATCTGCATATTGTTGGGATAACAGTAGCTAGGATATATTGGCCAAAAAAAAAAAGACTGCAGCAAGCATGAGATGCATTCACAATAGTGTGCTCATGGAGGTGTGTGAGGCAACTGAGTGCATGGAAAGCGTTCCATCTTACAGAGGAGACAGTTCACACATATCAAAGTTTAGAAGAAAAGAATCCTGGGTCAGACAAGATGACTTCCAGGTCACCTTACATTCCAGATTTGTTAACGCTTCCCCGCTAAATTAACTCTGGTTTGTGGCCATTAATTTTAAAACTGAAGTCAAACACACACACAAAAACAAACAGGTTGTAATTATAGACACACACAACAAACAAATGAGCACTCGACATGTTTTGCTTCTGTTTGTCCAACCTATTTTGGGCTGGAATCCTGGAAGGGAATCATTGAGGTTTCTGAGACCATGTTAAACCAACATACTGTGCAAAATGATATAGCTTAGCGTGCAGTGAGGCATCAGAAATTCAAAACTCCATTTTGTTTCCAGACCAGTTAAATATAGTACATGGTTTGCAGATTTTTAAAAATTTATCTTACTGCCTTTTAAAGTAAAAACTGTTTTTAAATTTTAAAAAATGCTGATGAAATGAAGGCAAACTTCCCCCTGAAGTTACAGTTAACTCCAAACATTTGTTCTATTAAAAAAAATGTAAGCTAGGACGCAAGACAATTCTGCTGCCATAGTGCCACTACTTGGACGAGTTTGGAGGCATGCCTCTTCCAGGCTAACGGGGGTTCCTAGGCAGTGTCACAGCACTGGAGCTTTGGAAGGCTCAGGCAGCCCATCTGCATCTCTGATCACTTTTAGGCAGTAGAGCAGCTGGGTAATCTTAATCCATGGACCCATTGAGATCCCTTTTGGATGCCCTTGTGGATCACTTCAGCTGTGAAGCATACAGCCAGGATCTCTCTCTTCGGTCTCTTCCATAACCACCTTTGAATGCTTTACAACTGCATTAAAGAAAATATTTTCTATCCCTAATGTGTTAGTTGGAACAACACTTGGAGCAACAAGAGAACTGTTTGACAGCCCTGATTTACAATATTTTGAGTGTGTCCAGTGTGTGGGATTTTGAAAGCACTTAACGCATGATGCTGCCATGACTGAAAGAAGAAAAAGGCTTTGCTTCTGCCCGTTCTTTTGGGGGACTGCAGGGCTCTGTGCTTTCAACCCAAGATGCAGCCTTTAGCAACATGGTTGCTCTTAGTCTGTAGCAGTGAGAGATAACCATATCTAGAGACAAGTTCAAATTGGATGTGACATTAAATTGGATCTTGTTTTCTGGAAAGTTAAAATAGGTGTATGTTTTATTTATTTATTTATTAAAACATTTTTATGCCGCCCCATTCGTATGTTTGCATAGGGTGCTTTTTTTTTTTTACAAGAACTGCAGTGGATAGTGGAGGTTTAATCCTTTACTTCCCGGCTAATGCCAGTAAAAATGATTCTGTGCCCCAAGCAACGATTAGCACCATAAGGAAAAGGGAAACTGGGAAATGTGAACGAACATGTGGACTACCAGAGAGAGAGAAAGAGCTGAAGAACTTGTCACAAAGGTGGTGTAAGTTATACCAGCCTCTGTTGGCAAGAGAAGAACATTCTTGCCCTTGGTTTCTCTTGGCAATTCGTCTTTTGATAGCCATCAATATAAACCAAAGGGGGAAGAAATGTTTCCTCCTCTGAGCAGTTGCCACAGATTGTACTCCCTAAGCTTTACCCCAACTGAGGTTTGAAGACTCCGCACCCTCAGAAATGTGCCAGTCTGCAGCTCTGCAAGCACAGTTATAAAATGTTTAAAAGAATTAACACAGATTTTTTGTGCAAGTATTTTGGAACTTTAAAAAAATCTACCAGCCCTAGACAACCTCTGGAAAGTTCTGTCTGGGCTTTGCAGGGGCAGTCCGTAGCTGTTAAAATGGGGACTGCAAAAACTGGCTGGCAGGCCAGCTTTTGTGATCTCCAGGAAATGAGAGGGCAGGAAGGATAAAAGGGAAAAATGCCAGAGCAAGCCGAAAGTGGCTTACAATTGCAGCAGGGAATGGGAGCAGCCAGGGCCAACCAGCAGCTGTGGCAAGGATGGCAGTAGCCAAGGATGTCAGTAGCCAACTCTCTATACCTGTAATGGAGTAGGTTGCCTGGGTTCAGATGATACGATAATGCACTGTGGGTACACGGACACCAAAAGTAAGCTGTGGGTCATCAGGGTGGATTATTGCCTATAAAAAAGGCCAGGCTGAGAAAATTGGGCTGGGTTTGCATGACAAGACAACCCATCATGGGTCATGACCCATGAGGAGTTGTCAGGTCATATGAGCCCAGCCCAGAAGAACCAGCATCATGGTGTGGCGCAGGGGCCCACCTGTCTACTCAGCCTCCTGTTCTGGTGCAAACTGTTCTTGAGCCACGATGCTTCTCTTTTCTTTAAACTGGGCTTGGGCTCAACGGTTCCCCAGCAGAGGATGAACCTCTGCAAAGTAGGAGAGACGCCACCCTGATCACGCGATCTCCTGCCTAATGTGGCACAACCTCAGTCAACTTATCGCTTCATCTTCTACTTGAGCTTGTGTGAGCACTGGGCCTGAAAGTCAGGCTGTCAGACTCATCTGGGATGAGTGATCGAGTATCTCACCTCATCTGTAGAAGATTCAAAACAGGAAATGACTTTTACTTCCAAAGCGTCTTGAGAAGCACTTAAACAGAGGAACTAGTAGAGAGCAGCCTTTCTACCTTTTGTCGTGCATGATGTATTTCCTCATTGATTTGACATTCATAGCTGAAAATTGATCCATTGATGCTTAACTGAATCTACATGGGAAATGAAATCATTGCATTGCTCAAGAAATAAAGCCACTAAATGTTTAGAATTTTAATAAAACATGTCTTTGGAAATTTCTCTGTCTCTTTCTATTCTTTCTTCTGAATTGATCATACCAAAAAGATAATTTTATTTATTTATTTATTTATTTATTTATTTATTTTTGGATTTATATCCTGCCTTTTTCCTACAAAGGGCTCAAGGTAGCTTACATCTCCTCCTCCATCTTATCCCCACAACAACAACCCTGTGAGGTAGGCTGGGCTGAGAGTCTGTGACTGGCCCAAAGTCACCCCGCTGGCTCCATGAACCCAGGTTGTCTGAGTCCCAGTCCCATGCTCTTAACCACTACACCACACTGGCTCAAATAAATAAAATAAATACATGAAAAAAGATCATAATGTGACTTATTTGGTTTTGACTAGCCATACAAATGTGCTTTTCGGACCTAAAGGCACCATGACCATGGTCAGGTGCTCTAATGTCAGCAGCAAACCAGGCCCTTCCTGCTTTATTATATAATTCTTTAACTCTATTGCAGTCAATGACTAGACCCATTTGTGTTCTCTCTCCCTCTCTTTTAGAAGAAGAGAATTCTAAAAGGCTCTATTGAACTGTCCAAGATTAAATGTGTAGAAATTGTGAAAAGCGACATCAGTATTCCATGTCACTATAAGTATCCTTTCCAGGTAAGTGTATGCCTGTCTTGTAAACAGTAGAAGCCACGGGGCCCACACTAGATATGGCTAAATACTGCATTGTTTGTTTTTCTATATATACCAATAAAGTCACATAGAGAATATGCCACATTATCAATCTAAACATAAATTATATTGCAAAATTTTATTTTCTAAATATTGCATAACATTGCTAACATATAGGAATGTAGCATGTGAACACATTAATTGCAAGTGTGCTTCGAACCATAGTATTTTAGACTAACTCAATACAGAACAGTAAATGTCTTTTCCTAGAATGTGTACGTTCACTGAAATGAATGCAATAACAGCTAATGAATCCAAGCATTGGCTCAGTTTAAAATAACTGTCTTCTATTATTGATTGATTTCAATCTATTGATTTCATGAAGGAAGCCACAGCCTTCAGTTTACATGAGCTGAGCAGGACTGTCAGGGCCAGACCAGCATAAGAAGTTAGCCACATTTGGGTGTCCCCCCCCCCATCCCCTAAATGTTGGGTTTCACCAGTTTATCACACCATTATCTCTCCTTACATTTTGTGGTAAACGCTGCAGGGAGGGGCACTTCGCTGTCCATCTGTCCCCCCCCCCCAAAAGCCAGGATTGTCCCTCTGAACAGATTCCTCAGTGACCAGGGCCTCAGAGACGGCCAATCAAATGGGATCTCATTCCTATCCTTTGCTCTGGAATGGTTGAATTTTTCAAATTGTAATAGCATGAATGGGTGGGAGGAGCTGAGTCCAAACTACAGTGTGTGGAAAAAGGCTTTGTCCTTTGCCTCTCGTGCAGTTCTGATCCAAGTTTTGCCAGCATCCCTTTGCTCCACTTAAAAAGGTAAAGGTAAAGGTTTCCCCTTGACATTAAGTCCAGTCGTGCCTGACTCTAGGGGGCAGTGCTCATCTCCGTTTCCTGGCCAAGGGAGCCAGCGTTTGTCCACAGACAGTCTCCATGGTCATGTGGCCGGCATGGCTAAACACCGAAGTGTACGGAACGCTGTTACCTGCCCACCAAAGGGGTACCTTTTCGTCTACCGTATTTTTCGCTCTATAATACACGCCTGACCATAAGATGCACCTAGTTTTTAGAGGAGGAAAACAAGAAAAAAAAATATTCTGAATCAAATGGGAACATAATCACAGGCACATTCCCCATCACTTCCCCATGGGCTGCACATCTGACAGACTTACTGCACACACATATTTGCTCTATAAGACGCACAGACATTTTCCCCTTACTTTTGAGGGTGGGAAAGTGCGTCTTATAGAGCAAAAAATACAATACTTGCATTTGTATGCTTTCAAACTGCAAGGTTGGCAGGAGCTGGGACAGAGCAATGGGAACTCACTCCGTTGTGCAGATTCGAACCGGCAACCTTTTGATCAACCAGCCCAGCAGCGCAGCGGTTTAAACCACTGTGCCACCTGCAGTCCCTTTGTTCCACTTAGAAGCCTGTTTTTTCAATGGGAAGAAAGCTCCTATTGGCATAAAGGGAAGCTTTCTTCCACTTTTTTGTGTGGGGAAATCTTTTTTCTGTTGCTTCTGTGAGCAAGCATTGTTCTTCAAGCCAACTATTTATTTAAAAAATCAAAAGCTATATCTCTTACTTTCAATGTTTTGAATTTATCAAAACTGTTTGCCAACCATGCTTCCTCTGGCTTATTGCACAGACACAGGTGTGAATCTCTGGTGGAATCTCAGTGGGCTTTGAATCTCTAAAACAGCAACAACAAGTGTCTAGCCCTCTTTGTGGAAATTAACTTGAAACTGCATAGGGCTAGGCAATACTTGAGAGAGCAGGTATTTTAACAATAGGAGACAGGCCTCTTGTGCTCTTCAGAAGGCCCTGTCCTTCTCGTGTTGAAATGGCACAGCTTCTGCAAAACCCAAACTACCAGCAAATGTTCTTACTTGTACTTTATGTGATTTAGCCAGGTCATGGAGCTGGTGGAAATTTTTCAATGAATTGGATTGTTTCTTTATACCACAATAACACATCTAAGCCAGAATTTGATTTCTAACAATGCAACAGATTATCCGCATAGGAAATGGGCAGCTTGTATTTGGCCTGAATTTATTTTAACTTCTTTTTCTCCCTCTGCTGTAGATTTTTCATGACAGCTATGTGCTGTATGTGTTCGCCCCCAGCCAAACAAGTTGCCAGAAATGGGTCTTGACTTTAAAAGAAGGTAACTGTTCTTAGTACAAACCCTTGAATGGACACACAATTTCAAGATTAATGCAGACACAAAAATATACTTGTGGCACATTAAAGCAAATGCACTGTGACATAAGCTTTCATGTCCAAAGTCCACATCAGCTGATTTCCTATATGACATTTAGTGTGTGATCCTATGCATGCTTTCTCCAGAGAGCAAGACCTGTGGAAATCCATAGGACTTATTTCCTTATAGTCACAAATAGGATTGCACTGTTAAAATGTTTTTGGGCCCTTCTCATGCTCTTGGTATGCATGTATGAGATAGAAATGCAGCCTTTAAATTTCTATAAATTTCTTGATGGCCAATGGGAAACATGAATTTATATTTTATTCTTTACTGAGCAGAAGCATGAGGGGAAAGAATTTGGAACTGTATCACTTCCCTTGGCAGGTGAAACTCATATTTTTGAATGCTCCCCAGGTTTGGGATCAGCAGGAAATAATTGCTTTTATCTTATACATGTGATAGAAAAATGACTGAAAGTCTGCTGTTAAAAACAAACAAACCTAAAATACAATAATTCTGTAAGAAATGACTTTGTACATGAAAGAGGCTTTTGAAATATGACCTCACTGAAAAACATAGCCCTGTCCAAAGCAGAGCCTTCTGGAACTATTCTGGGCAATAGGCAGACAGGCACTTGCATATCCTATTATTAAGTTATCTTTCACTTGGAAGCTTACTTTAGTTGTAACAGATAAGCTGTTGCTTCCATCTCAGCTGGCCACTTCTGATAACAGCTGAAAGTAAACCCAGCAATGGTGAGAACGTCACAAAAATAGAGCGCTGCTGGCGTATCTTGTTCTGAGAGCTGTTCCCGCGGGTGTCACCCTCCAGCTGACGGTGGCAACCCCACAAGCAGGACACGGGCGCCGTGCCAGCTTCGTTCTCCTATTTTCAAGGAAGCGTGCTGGAGGCAAGATGTTGCCACCATGACTGGCAGCGACTGATAGCCGTGCCCTCCAAGAATTCATCTAAATGGTTTCCATAGTGTATATTGTATTTTATATAAAACACCCAGAGCACTCGGGCCGGTGGTGTTAGTTCAGCTGCCCAAGTTGGCAGCCATCGCTGCAAATTCCACAGTTTATCTATGCAACACGCTGTTACTTTCTTCTGCCTGTTCTCAGGCTACCACCAGTCAGCTTTGTTGGGTAGCCCTGGATTCTAGTATTTTGAGAGAGGGAGTGTTACGAACCAGCTGCACAGTTCTGTATGCAGGGACACTGCTACGCTGAACACATTCTTCTATCATACTCTCTCCACCCACTTCTCAATCATTGGCAGCTTATGTTGGCAGGGGCCATGACAGATTTATCAGCATAGCTTTAACCATGCATCTTATTAGCCACACCATAATGATGGTTCTGAGCGTATTAGACACAATCTCACTTTTTTCCATCCAACTGTTTCAGAAACTAGGAACAACAACAACTTAGTGACAAAGTTTCACCCAAATTTTTGGATGGAAGGAAGATGGAGGTGTTGTGCGCAGGCAGAAAAGATGGCAACAGGCTGTGTGGAATATGTTCCATCCAAGACTGGTATGTAATTACTTTGCTGTAAACAAAGTAAGAGAGCTTCAGCTATGGGTAGTATAGGTATGAAGATGATGATGATGATGGATGTCCTAATCAGTGTTTAATTAATGATACAACCTTGGCTAAGATGCTCACATTAAGTAGGAATGCTGAGCAAGGCCTGGTTACCTCTGGTAGTAGATGCCCTAGGATATATCTCAATATTATCCTGGTATATTCCCTGAAGAAAGGGAAGAAAATTCACTGATACTCTTCTATGTTCTGTAAGACAGGGGTAAGCAACCTGGAGCCTGCCAGGTGGTTTGGCTTGCAGTGCCATCACCCCCAGCCAACACAGCCAGTGCTAATTTGATGGGAGCTGTAGGCCAAAGCATCCAACATTGCCCACCCATGCACTAAAGTTTATTATTGTGATTTGAGCGTGGTGTGTCATTCAGCATGCAGTTTGACTCTCTGGCATGGATTTATTAATTACCTGGGGACTAGTGACTCTCTGCCTCCATGTTGCACATCTCTAAGACTGGCATTTGTTTTCTGGAAAGTCTTCTGCATGCTTAATTCCTCAACAATATGTTGCACAGGTGTGTGTTATACATGGGACTGGACATACATGGTCAGATCCAGATTGAGTCATACTTTGAGCAGGCAAATTGCTTTCAGTGGGTGTATCAAAGTTTGATGAAACATGGATCCATCCCAGCCTTTGTGCAGCTGGGTTCAGCCTTGAGTTTTCTGTTCTGCTTGCACTTTTAGTTCCTGCCTTATCCTTTGTAATCTGGATGCTGTTAGATTGATAGCAATTCATATGGCTGGGAGGCAGGGGATTTATGAGCACCTCTGATCACTGTACATCTCAAATAAACAGGATATTTTTTGTGGACACTATCCATTTGCCACGGATTCAGTCTTGACTGTACCAGCATCCACCCCATCCCTGCTGGGCCTGCTGTTCTCCTGGGTGCATAAGGCTTTGCCCCTCTTTACCCAAGCCTTCCCTCCCTGATGAGCAAACGTTTGCGCTGCATGCAACACACTCCACCCACTGCTGTATTCTGCCTCCGGGCATGATATTTACCTCCCCTAGACGTTTAACCTGTGCACTCCAGGTTGTGCTGGGTTGTATAATGCCAAGCCAGTGACTAGGATTTTGACTTTCAGGAACTGGCATTCCTGCTGGACACACAAATACCTCATGCAGGAACAGTGATGATATATTGTCAGCATAACAGTGCTGCATAAATGCCTGTGAAGAGCAAGAAAACGAACTCTGAAGAAGTCCTGCTCTGATAAGGAAATAGTTGATCACAGAAGCATTCCAGTTTTAGAATGATCAGAAACGAGTCTCACAAACAGAAGCTACGGTTCTACTTGGGATGCTGTTATTTTTCATTGGCACCATCATTTTTGTAGCCCTCAATGATTGCGTGATGGTTGGCCGAAACAAAACCAAACAAAACCCCAAGCTGCACGGTAGTTCCAACCACATTGCAAACTACTTCTCTGCAGTATCTGCCTATGTGGTTAAGTGACCATCATCATTTCTTCCTCTCCTTTCTGCAACTCTATTTTACCAACAGTACCTTCTGCTTTGGCCTATGATCATATTATTTTTCTTTTCTTTTTCAGTCTCCAAGAAACCGCTTCCTCCAACCCCAGAGAATAACCCGGTGAGCACAACATGGGTAGTACACATTCTCCAAATTCAGGACGTGGAAGCTGAAGCACAGTTTTGAAAATTTATATTTATAAAGTTTCTATTTATAAATGTTATGGAAGGTGAGGTCCTATTGTTCTAGCAGCAGGTACTCATAAGCTTCCAACCTGGCTAGTTCATGGGCATCCAGAACAAGGAGCGAAGCATGGCGGCAGAACTCTTCACTGCCGCTGACCTCACCCCCTGCATTTCAGCTGGAAGGCCACGTAGATTGGGTGCTGACTGGAACAGGTGTAACTCCTCAGCCCCAAGCTTCTTCCCTCCCCACCCCTTCGCACCTTCCTATCCCCTCCACCCCAAGGTGCCCTCTGGGGGGGCGGGCAGCTGGTACAGTCTTTTCCATGCTGGTCATGAAGGCAAGGATGGCTGCGGGGGGTGGGGTGGAGGTGCAGGCTTAGTCATTGGAGCCCCATCTCTGAGATCACAGGATCTTCGAACTGGGCCTCTAAAGAATCCTATGGCCTCCTTCCTGGATGATATTGGGAGATTATAGGACTGTGCTTTTAATGACTGCAATACGGTTTTTCAGCATTTCTGTTCAAATGTTTATAAAACATTTACAAGCATTTAGAAGAGCAACTATATATTATTATTATTATTATTTTCCTTCACCTTCTTGTATGTTTATTTTCTAACAGTATATGTGGCTCGTGCTGGAATGTAGCAATGGGTTGCATTCAATGTTCATTTAATGAGTTCCTTTCATTTCAGTGGGTCTACTCTGCACAAGACAAACAATACAATCCATGAGTTTGAACTGGATATTATCATATATCTTATTTTCTTTTTGTGAGTTTTGAGTGTAGCTTTTCCTAATATGGTAATTAAATCATAAATTGCTTTAACTAGTAAACTAGGCTTGTATAGTTAAATCTACAAATACTCTGTTTATCTGGGCTGTTATATTTCATCCTACTGTACAGATGAGCTTCCCTCTACAAGTATATTTACTCTCCTGACAATCTGTCCCTCTTAAAAGAAGGGTAAAAGGATTTCAGTAACCCAGCAGCGGGTTCACACGACATGCCAAACCACCCTGCAAATAAGCTACAGCCCCAGTGTACCCAACAGGGCATGGCCAGCAAACAAGCCACCTTGCAGGAAACAGTCTGCACTGACTTCACACCCCACCATAAATTACAGGCTATGGTGGGTGGCCAGGTTGTACAAACTCGGTCAATGTGTAAACATACAGGTGTATTTATTGCAGTTCATTTTATTTATTTAATATATCCTATTAATTTTCTGTTTGTTGTCTGGTCCTTTGGAGCAGAAATTATTTATAGACCCCAAGGACTCACTAGTAATCGCCATTTATGACTACACTGCCCAGAATCCCCAAGAGCTGCCATTACAGTGCGGTGAAGAATATTATGTTATCGACAACTCTGAGGAGCATTGGTGGTTGGTTCAAGACAAGAATGGGTAGGTACCTTTTAGAAAGTAGTGTGCTATTTCTCTGAACGCTTCTTTTATTTTTAATTACAGCCCATGTTGAAGAGCAACACAGTTTTCAAAAACTGTACCGTTTCTTACTTTGCTATTGCATTTAGAAAATGTTTGTTTATTTATTTATATGTATTTATAGGCCACCTATAATTGCTGGGGCCTTCCTAGGTGGCTTACAATGCATACAACATATTAACAGAGTAAAACACATTAAAACCAATTAAGACATAACAGATTAAACATTCTATAAACACAATTAAAAAGGGCAACAGCATGCAGCCTAAATGTTTAAAAAAACCCTTAAAAGATATGCCTTTGCCTGGTGCCAAAAGGAAAATAGAGATGACGCCAGGCAAATTTCCCTAGGGAGGGAGTTCCGGAGATGGGGAGCAGCAGCGGAAAAAGCCCTTCACCCAGTTGCCACCCTTCTCATCTCCCTGAGGGGTGGTTTTCCCAGAGGGGCCTCCTGAGCTGATATAAAGGGGCAGGTAGGTATATGGGTGCAACAGTCCTTTAGATGTTCTTGGACTACTGTGCCATGGGAGAAGTGCAGCCCACATGGTTTCAGATACAATCCAATCAGGATGCTGGTGGGCCTCCAAACTTGGGAGATTATGGGCATCCTATGCAGTGCAGAAGCTGCGCTCTCTGCCTCCATACTCCTCCCAATCTGCATTCTTGCTAGATGGTTGCTTTTGGCCATCTAACTGAGGAACTTGGAAGGGAGGGGAGGAGAGGAAGCTGCAGAGGACACAGGATGCAACATACCTTGGTCTCTCCTGTCTTGTCGCCTCCCTGCCCACTGGAATGCCCCCTTTTCCCCTTTCTGAGATCAAATCTCCAAGCTTGGAGAGGAAGTGGGTGCAGGTCTTTCCATAATGGCTGCTAGAAACAGGGAGGGGTTTGGAGTGTAGATTTCAAACTCCGTGGTAAGAGCTGCATTTCTAACCTGAGAATTTGGACTATCCAACTCCTCGCACACCCCTCCCCCTGACATTGTCTAGGAGCCATAAGACTGCTCCTTTAAAAATGCATGCTTAGATCGGATGTCAGTGATGGAGTCCGTTTACAAACCTAACTTAGAAGCTTCGCCTGTGCACCCCCTCTGTTGCAGACAATATTTAATCCATACTCGCTTATGCCAGAGTTTCAATATACTAATGCACAGCATCTTATTCTTCACAGTCATGAAGGATATGTGCCAAGCAGCTATGTGACAAAAAAATCATCAGAAAATCTGCAGTTATATGAGTAAGAGAGCTTTCTTTCTTTGAATACAACATTATCAGTACATAGACATAGGCCTGATGCTGGATCTGTTAATTAAGTAGCTTTGTAATTACCGTGTGGAGATGTGAACCAGTTCAAATTGTACTTTGGGAAATAAATTGATAATCAGCTTTGCAGAGCAAATGGCAGCACATTATTATTATTATTATTATTATTATTATTATTATTATATTTCTATGCCGCCCCTTGCCAAAGCCTCGGGGCGGCTTACAACACAATAAGATACATTGAAATACAATAGAACATAATAAATTACCAATAAATACAAAAATACAAAAAATACACTGATATAATAATATAAAATTAAAATTAACAGTATAAAATAAGTAAATAAAGAATATAGGAGGAGGAAAGAGAAGGAAGAAGAAGTTGCCCTGGCCAGATCATATATTTTAACAATTAAAATGATGTTTAAATAAAAAGGTCTTTACCTGGCGCCGAAAAACCAGTAACGACGGTGCCAGGCGGACCTCTTTGGGGAGTGAATTCCATAGGTTGGGCGCCACCGCAGAGAAAGCCCTCCTCCGGGTACTTACTCTCCTAATTTCTTTCATGGAGGGTTCCCGAAGAAGGGACTCTCCCGCAGATCTCAAGGGGCGGTCGGGCATATACGGACGTAAGCGCTCGTTCAGGTAGCCAGGACCCAAGCCGTTTAGGGCTTTATAGGTCATAACCAACACCTTGAATTGGGCCTGGGCTTCAATGGGAAGCCAGTGAAGCTGACGGAGGACTGGAGTCATGTGAGCATAACGCCCCGTCCCCGTCAGCAACCTGGCAGCTCTATTTTGCACCAATTGAAGTGTTCGGACCGTCTTCAGGGGAAGCCCCACGTAAAGCGCATTACAGAAGTCTAGGCGGGAAGTCACCAGCGCGTGTGTCACCGTCGCCAGGCCGTCGTACTCCAGGTAGGGGCGCAGCTGATTAATCAGCCGAAGCTGAAGGAAGGCGCTCCTCGCCACCGCTGTCACCTGAGCTTCCAAAGAAAGCTCTGGGTCGAGGAGCACTCCCAAGCTGCGGACCTTGTCCCTAAGAGGGAGTGTTGCACCATTCAGGACCAGGTCACTCAAGGGCAGAGAAGTGGTTCAAGCAATATAGACGGCTGGATGTCTTTCACTGTGGAGAGCATAAAAAGGCAGAAGACTCAATAAAGGCGCACCGCTATCCATGTTTAGTCTGGGGAAAACTCCACAACTTCCAGCATTCCTCAGTCAACATGGTAGTGTAAACGCATGTAGGATTACATCCTCAGCCTCCCTTTCATCTCTCAGGTATGGTTGTAGCCGTGCTGCTTCTTTATGCACCAAACATTCAGGATCCTGCTTATTTGTGAGGGCAAATTGATTCTCAGTTTGTCTCTTCTTACCAAATTAAGATTGATCCTTAATTTCTGAGGCCAGTTCCATTGTATGTGCAGCATTCTACTACCTCATTGTCCAGAGCAGGAAGCTGCTGGTAACCCTTACAGGCCATGAGCCAAGGGGCACAAAACTGGAGCTGGATGGCCTATTGTAAAGACTTGTTTTTCATTGCAGATGGTACAGCAATAGCATCAACCGAAGCAAGGCAGAAGTGCTTCTCAGAGAAGAGGTAGGCCAGTTCCCTTAGGTGGTGACCACCCTTCATTTTACTTGGTTGGATTGTTTTTCCTGTTTCAGCTGCTTTGAGCTTGTTAAGAAATGAGATGGGCAAATGGAATGTTTTGAGGGCCACCTCAGTCCCAACAAAGATCACTTCTTTGCTTGGAAGTGCAAATCCCTTTTCAACTATGAAGCTCTCTGGTCGCTTCACATGATTGCTGAGGAGAAATGATCTGAGCATAGATGCCACCACCGCTAACTAGCAGAGTCCTGAGCACACTTGGAGAAGGGCTGGCGCAGAAATAGTGATACCTGTCTAGCACAGAGTGGGATGAAATGCCTTTTGCCAAGAAAGTATTTTGGGCATTGACTCTTTCCCATCTTTCCGAGATTTTTACTTCTTGTGTTTATTCCTCTTTTTAAAAGAGGCCAAGTTCCAGCTGGAAGCATCTTTCCATTCAGCATAGGATGTGGTGTGAAGCACAGAAGGGGCATCCTGGCAGCAGCCACTCGGTCTCTGCTTTCTGCTGCTGTTACTGTGTCACTGCTCACTTGTCCAGACTTTCTGGTTGTTTAACTTGGCCTGGCTGGTTGGGATGAGGCCAGTAGGCAGTGCAGAAAAAAGCATTTGTTTTTCCTTCCTGCTGCTTCACTACGAGTCCATCAGAGCAGTGCTCTTGCTGCCTTCCTTCTCTTCCACTCTGTGCGTTGTGTGCTTTCTCTTTTTAAAAATAATTGCATTGTTTTCTTAAAAGAAATACAATTCAAAGAAAGCCAAAAATGTGAAAGAGAGCTAATGCACCCTAAAATAAATATATAAGCCAGATAATTCCACATATTAATTCTAAAACCACAGCAGTTTAACAGTGTAATAAGTTGGTCAAAATATTTTTCAGACTGCTTGATCCTGTAATACCAGCAGCTCTAAAAAGTCTAACAGGAGGCAACCTGAAACTCACAAGTTCTTAAAGACTTGTGTGAACATTTCAGCTAACCATCAAGTCGTATCATTTTGACTGCTATCATTGTTGTGGCTTCATTTGTCACAATTGGCTTCAGTGCCTGGGTGCTGGGTAGGGACGCTAACCCAAGCCCCGCAGTAGTGGTGGTCTGGGTGGGAGTCTTGTGGGGACATTGTTCATGCAGCAGTTCACTTCGGGTGCCTGGCAGCCCTCAGGGGAGCAGTTGCTGATGGTCATAGTCCTCCGCCAGCAGGCCTGCTGAGGTTCTTCAGCTAGCAAATGGGTTGCCCTCCTCAGAGTCCCTGCCCTGGTGTTGCCCAAATCATAGAAGCCTCCCTCTTAAAACTGTGGCCTGTTTAAAAGCAAGCTTGGTGTTTGTTCTGTCTTTGATCCCTACATGTTTCCCACCAAATGCAGATATTAATTCAATACTCAGTGTATTACAAACATGAAAGCAGACAAGAAGTGAATTTTAGCCTTTAAAAGTCCTCCTTGTATAAATATAGCCTAGGGATCCATTTCCGAATAACCGTATTCTGAAACTTTCTTTCTCTTCCATATTTTTGTAGGGCAAGGAAGGAGCCTTCATAGTGAGAAACTCAAGGCAACCTGGCACATACACAGTCTCTGTCTTCACAAAAGCATTAAGGTAAGTCTGACTGTAGCAGATGCTTGCACTGATTCAGTTATTTGGGAGGATATTATGGATCCAGGACATAAAGTTTGAATATATGCAGCAGGCTTCTGTACTTCTTTCCCCATCTCAAAACATAAAAATGGGAGCATCCCTTAAGATAGGCTTACATTTCAGTTTTCATCATGACCAAGAAAATATTTTTCCTGCCTGCTTGCCTTTCCACAGAGTTTTATTTGCCACTGTTTTTGACAACAAGAGTTGTATTTTTTACTTTCATTTCAGCAATGAGAATAACCCGGTTATAAAGCATTATCACATCAAGGAGACAAGCGACAGCCCCAAGAAGTACTACCTGGCAGAGAAGCACGTGTTTGACTCTGTCTGGGAACTGATCAACTATCATCAGCACAACGCAGCAGGTAAGTTGAGCCAGGAAAGGCCAGAATAATCGTGTTGCTGTTTTGGAATAGTTTTTAAAAGGTTAAAAGAAAAGGGAAAAATTGATCTTGTGATGTCACACAGAATATGTCCTTCTGAGTAATCTGGTTGTCATTAAAAACAGGCAACAGTTTTGGCTAGAATCATGGGATAGAATCTAAACATGTAACCTAATCAGACATTTGGCTGAACTTCTCTCTGTGAGAAATGGATGCTATAGATTATGCTAGTTGTGAGGAATTGTATGGGGTCTTCATGGGGATGCTTATTACAAATGCTCCCCATTATGTGTAATTTTCCCAGATGCAGAATGGCAAGGTTCCGTACCAGTGCAGCACAATTATTTGCCTCTCTGAATATTCTATAGGAGATCCCAGAATATTACTAAATCTGGGGGATTTGGTAATTCAAATGCTAAAATATTTAAGTAGGTGGTCATGTAACTTGCATGGTTTAATGCTGATGGAGTTTCATGGTGATTCCTTGGGAATTCAGATTAGTGGTAAGGAAATGAGTGGTATCTAATTAATGGCAGTTGTGCTGTGTTAGACACAACACTTCTCCACACAAGGCATTCATTGTGCAGTCAGGATCCCTTACTCATGTGTGGGGCATTTTCACAAGGTTGTCACCCTCCAGAGCCTCTCCCAAATTTTCAGACATTTCTGCAGGTTGTTTTGGAGTGAGGAAAGTCTGATATTTTCCTAGATGGCAACATTGTTCCTTATAGAAGCCTAGCCTATTTTTCCAATTCGACTATGTCCCACAGCACCACCTTGTGTTGAGAGGAATACTTGCAGGAAAGACAAAATAATCCTCCTGCAAAATATAAATAAAAATGAAGACTGGGAAAATATCTGTGCTAAAAGGATACTAAAATGTTTGTCAGTACATATAAAGGAATTTTTAATAAAATAGTATACTTAACTCCAAGTGAAATTGAATTGTATAGATAGCAAATATTCCAATCTATGTTGGAGATGTGGCTATGGAGTGGGTACATATTTTCATGTGTTGAGAATGTGAATATATAATTTTGGAAAGAGGTTTTTAAAGTGAATAGTAAAATATTAAGTTTAAATATTGAAATACATCCTGAAATAGCATTACTGTCAATATTTAATAAGAAACAATGCAGTTGGAATAATAAAGACTAAAGAATAATTATTTTGTTAATGATAAATTTAACAACAACAGCAAGATTAATTAGAAATAGAAAGTAAAATATGATTATCAGTTGTGTGATTGATATAGATAAGTCTGGAATATAGCTACTAATGATAAATTAACATGTGATATTAAAGTGAGAAAGGGGTATCTAAGAAAAAATAATTTTAATGACAATTGGGGTTCATTAGTTGAATATGAGTTTTAAAAAGGGAAAGAATTTGAGCCTTCACAAGAGCCATTGCAATTTTGGAAGGGGAACCCCTACTGAAAGAATTTTTGGAAGAGTTCCTAACTCTTCCCATCCCCAGTGGTCCCAGTGATAGAGTACACAATGTTTTTATGACTTATTTTAATTGCATGTTTAATGTAACATGTTTTTAGTTTAATTGTCAGATTTTATTTATATTTTACATTAATTAATAAAGTCAATGTAATTAATTTTACACTTTACATTTACAAAATTAATAAAAGATAAAAATAAAAAGGAAGGAGAAGTCTCAGTAAAGTGCTGGGTTAAATGGTTCATACAGAGGAGAAGCCCATTGACAAAAACATGGATGGTTAGATTAAACCATTTTAGAGGGTGAAATATGGTTCTAACCTGCCTGCCTGGTCTTCATGTACTGTTGACCCCCTTCCTAAGAGGGGCTCTCTTTTTCAGCCTCTTTCCTTCAGCCCTACCTATTTTCCTCCTCAATGCAGGTCTCGTTACTCGTTTGCGGTATGCCGTTTCCTCCCGGAGAGAAAAGGCACCTGTTACTGCTGGGCTAAGCTATGGTAAGCAGACCTGGCTCCATCGCTCAGACTGTGTTTATTATTCAGTCATATCCATTCACTTGGCATGATATGGTCAGTTGTCTAAATCAGAGGTTTCAACTTCCCGGTGGCCTTGCCTTTTTAGATGCAGGAAAATCAGAAAGGGTCCAGAGGAGGGCAGTAACAATGATCCAGGATTTGGAAACCCTGCCCTATGAGGAGAGACTGAGAGAACTGGGCATGTTCAGCCTTGAGAAGAAAAGACTGAGGGGGGACATGATATCTCTCTATAAGTCCCTCAAAGGCTGTCACAAAGAGGAAGGTCAAGAGCTCTTCTTGCTGATACCAGAGTGTAGGACATGCAATACTCAATTCAAGTTGCAACAACCCAGATTCAGGCTAGATATCAGGAAAAGTTTCCTCACGGTCACAGCAATACGACAGTGGAACCAGCTGCCTTGGGAGGTGGTGGGCTCTCCCATACTAGAAACATTCAAAAGAAACTGGACAGTCATCTGAGCAGAATGTAAATTGGTGACCTGCAACAGCAGGGGATTGGACCAATGGCCTTTTTGGCTCCTTCCAATTCTACTTTTCTATGATTCTTTGAATGATCAGGAATGCTGGGAGCTGAAGTTCAAAACATTTGGATATCTACTTTCTGCCTGCCCCTGGTCTAAATGGTTTCAGGAGCAATTCAGCTACCTTTGGCCTTGAAGTGATTCCAGGCAAATAAGCATACACCAGGGATTGGGTTGAATCACCGAGATACAGCTGAGATTCACTGCAAGTGCCTTATAGCATCTTAAAGACAGGAGGGAGGGAGGGACTCTATATTGTGACATAAGCGCCCGCATCTGACAAAGTGGGCCCCAGCAATTCCTAAAGGGTCACAAATGTGTTAGATTGTATCTAGTGTTAGTTCTACTCACAGTAGACCCACTGAAATGGGTTAGACTAAAATTGAATAAGCTTTTGTTGTTTTTACCAGTGAATGGGATAATTTAATGCCATGCAACACAGAGGATCATAGATCTGGAAGTATGACATCTTGGAAGATTGAGGAGCTTTTCTGCTGAATAAATATTATGATGGGCTCCAGAAAGGAAAGTGTGGAATAGCTAGCTAGAACTAATTGCATTCTGTAATTATTGTTAGTATTAGGACTGGATCATTAAATTTGAAATGTGACTGCTCAGAATGTTTAAAATGGTTGTCTTAGTTGGAGGGCCCTGTTATAGGCCCTCTGTAACACTCTTTTTCTGTCAAAAAGCAATATCCAGGTTTCAAAATCTTTTTCTGCTGCCTCTTCCTAGGAAAGTGGCAGATAAATCCACAGGAGCTGACCTTTGAGCAGGAGATTGGCGTTGGCCAGTTTGGGGTGGTGCATCTTGGCTACTGGCTGAACCAGATGAAAGTGGCCATAAAGACCATTCGCCCAGGGGCGATGTCAGAAGAAGACTTTATTGAGGAGGCCCAAGTCATGATGTAAGCACCACAAAATACTTGCTACGCTCCATCATCATCTGTCAAATCTAGAGTTTAGAGCAACATTGGGTGTACTTAATGTTACATAAAAATTACCATTTTCTTGTATATGGAGATGAATGCTATATTCTGTGTTTCCTGCATATGAGTATGGCTTTTGATCCTTTAGTGAGGCATCACTAATGTAATTTTTTGGATGGTTTCTATAGCTGGAGTTAAAACCATTCGCCCAGGGGCGATGTCAGAAGAAGACTTTATTGAGGAGGCCCAAGTCATGATGTAAGCACCACAAAATACTTGCTACGCTCCATCATCATCTGTCAAATCTAGAGTTTAGAGCAACATTGGGTGTACTTAATGTTACATAAAAATTACCATTTTCTTGTATATGGAGATGAATGCTATATTCTGTGTTTCCTGCATATGAGTATGGCTTTTGATCCTTTAGTGAGGCATCACTAATGTAATTTTTTGGATGGTTTCTATAGCTGGAGTTAAAATGTTCTTCTAGTTCTTTCCTTCCTCCATAGCAGTGTTGAATATCGTGCTCCAAAGAAAAACCTGTGGTATACATTGGAGTGCCTTCTAAGTTTCTTTTCCTTTCCAATCATTTAGTGGAATTAATGTTTACTAGAAGGATCAGTTATCTACTAGATTTACTTTTTTAAAAATGTCTGTGTACATGCATGGATGAATGAATAGGTCATGATGCCTGCTTTTTTTTAACATTAGAGAGTTCTAAAGGATACAGGATCTCCAGCCAGTTTAAGATAGTTTCTTTAGCTCAATAAAACTTAGAATTTTAAGAACCTTTAGTATAATTTTGAAATACTTTGTTTCTAGTCCTCATGGTCAACAAAGAACAACAAATAAATCCTACAGTCACAAAAAAATATCATCTCAACATTTCTAAATGGACACAAATCTAGAATAACTTTATAAATGCTCGTGATTTAAAATAACCAATAATCTTAATGAAAATAAAGAAGTTTGGTTACCTGAGATATTTTTTTTAAAATCTGATCTTTTTTCACTGAGGCACCTGATGCTATACAAACTTCTCCTAAAAATGGAGAAAATATTAATTTTCAATATTGCTGATTTTGATGTCACTCAAATGCACTGGTTTGTACAGTGGCTGGATCCAGGATTTGCTTCCCACAAGAAGGAGGACTCTGCTTGCAGAAGGTCTGTCTGCTGAGTATTTGAGGGGAGTCTCCACACTGCAGGCTCTTCTGCCTCCGTAGAATTTAGTAGAGTGTTAGAGAAAGGGGCGACTGCAGAGGTTCAGTTCCGCCAGCACAGTTGACCCAGCTTAAGTCTGAATCCAACCCCACATTGCAATAACATCAGTCACTCCACAATGGGATTTTTGCTTGAAGGAGGTATATGCTACTTCAGCAGTAAACAGAAGGTAGGTCTGCATGTATTGGTGGATTGCTAGGTAATTTGTGATCAATTGGCAAGGATTCCTAATTCCCAAATGCTTAATAATAGCAATAAAAAAGTCTCCCTCTGAAATAAAGAACTCTTGGGGTAATCAGGAATCTATTTCTGTGTGAAAGGACAGAGAGCTTCATTCAGTCCTGGTGCACACAATGCTGTGGATGCTACTGGCTCAGGATTCCAGATATATTTCTTTTGCCCCAGGCTTTGGTTGGTGGATCTCAGGCTAAGATCCTGCAAGCCCTGAAGTCTACCCACCCTGCCTCTAGCTCCTTCCGCCAGAATCCCTTATTTTTCAAGAACGAGATTTGTTGTGGAAACTGTAGAACACTGATGCTACGCAGTGCTCTTCAGTCTTTAATCTAATTTTGCCAAAGATATTGGATTTTCAGAAAAAAGGAGGCTCAATTAAATTGTGTTTATATGTCCAAATAATAGAGAACTGATTCTAATTTTTAAAAGGTGCACCCAGTGGGAAAGGTGCCTAAAATAACGTATGGCAGGAGCCACACTTTTTCTTTGTTCTTAATGTGTTTATATACCGTTCTTGCAGCTGGATCTGATCCTTCATAGTCCTTTTCTTGCTGCTTCCTTAGATTTCCCATGGAATATGCCCATCTATCAGCTTCTGCAAAGGACCAGAGCTGACACTACCGATTTTTCCTTTTGTATCAACAGGAAACTCTCTCATCCCAAATTAGTCCAGCTGCATGGGATATGCATGCAGCACACTCCCATGTGCCTGGTCTTTGAGTTCATGGAGTATGGCTGTTTGTCTGATTACTTAAGGAGGCAGCGGGGAAGCTTCTCAAAGGAAGACCTCTTGGGAATGTGCCAAGATGTGTGTGAAGGAATGACTTATCTGGAGCAGGCGTCTGTTATCCACAGAGACCTGGTAAGTCTGGATCATTTCTATAAATGAATGATCCAAATATTTTGCCATTTCAATACCTGGGCCAAAATTCATGATTATGGGAGTTGCTATAAATGTTTCCAGGAATATCCCTCAGTTGTGAGAAAGTTTGCCTTTTTAGACTGTTTTCTGTCTATTCGAGTCATTGTTCTTTTGCTTGCTCAAGTTGTAGGACCGTCTTTTGTCTTTGGGATGCTACTTCTTTTTGTCTTCCTGGATTAATCTGGGTCAATCCAAATGGAGATTATATTCTGAATGGGATGTGCAGTCACTCAGATGTAGTTATGAGATGCCATCAGTGCAGGAAGGCAAAATAACTTGAGAACTACAGCCAAAATTCATAGGTCAATCACCTGTGATCCAGCCCATCAGAAAGCATGTATCACTGAAGGCAGATGAAGCCATCTGGGAAAGAGAGAGAGGATGCATGCAAGACTGCAAAGAGTACCTGAGCAGCCAAATCCTTTTGCAACCGCCATTGAAAAATCGTCAAAACACTTTCATTTTTCAATATGGCTCAAATACTGTATTTCTGAAAAACAGTGAGTAGCTTCTACTTAGCCTTACTAATATTCTCCTCCTCTCCTTCACAGGCTGCTCGGAATTGTTTGGTTGGAGAATTCCATGTGGTCAAAGTGTCCGATTTTGGAATGTCACGGTAATTTGCATCCTGTATGCATAGCTAACCATTTATTTGATGGATGGAAATTACTGATGTTATTCTTTCCTTTTGAAGTGTGTCCAACACCAAGCTCATTGTCATGGCAAAACCCACACTGGGTCCAGAGCTCATTTCTGCTCCATTCCTGCTGTTGCTTCCTCTAATTCCTCCTTCCCTTGACAATCATTTTAAAAGAAATGAATAACATTTGGGGCATAATACTCCATGCCTAAGCAAGTCACCAGTTTCTTTGCCCTTACTGTCATCTCCAGTGAAACATGTTTTGTTGCTTTTGAAGCACTCTAAAGACCTCTAAAAGCTGTAAGCTGTGATAATAATGAGATGCGTGTGAATATTACAGGCAATGACAGTTCCTCATCACATTCCATTTACTGGGGTAGAAACGCACACCATCACTTGTAAACCATCACTCTGCCTAGTATTGTCTGCTATTTTCTACATATTATTTTACCAGTCACTAGCTTGATATGTTCCGGTTGTACTTTTTAGCCCACCTAAGATCTCTGCCCAGCCACAAACATTTGAAATTCCTGTTTCTCTAAACAAAGTTAATGAGAGGTAAAGGAAGACTGCTTCTCATTATGTCTGCAAAAGACTGCAGCATAACTACAACAAGTAGTCTATTAGATTACAGCTAGTACTACGATATTGGTCATAGTATAAAGATAGTTAAGCTGTAACAGATCTGTTGCAATGCTTCACTATTTGACAACGTGGTAGCAGAGGCAGAGAAACTTAGCCTAGTTTCTCATCATGATACCTGTTCCAGTTACCCACTGATAGTGGAACATGGCTTTGAGGAGCCTGCTCATATTCAATGCAACTAGGTGGACAATTGATGTTTCTGCGAGATTCCATGGGCACATATATCCCCATGTATAATGGTGCCTGGCATTGGAACTTATGGATTACTGACATGTGGCCTTAAGCATATTTGACTGTTCCAGGTATGTTCTTGATGACCAGTATACCAGCTCCATGGGCACCAAATTCCCCGTCAGATGGTCAGCACCGGAAGTTTTCTCCTACAACCGGTATAGCACCAAATCTGATGTCTGGTCATTTGGTAAGAACTTTTAATCTGAAAATTCTTATTCATACAATCACTTTGAGTTTAATTCTTGAGAAACTTCATTGTTAATCCTATCAGGAAGATAAAGATTTCTGGAATTTTGTGTGAGAAGTTGTGCAAAGGTTGAAAATTAGTTTTAGTTTTTGTTTTTAGTGTAAATTATTTAAAGCCACATTGAGCTTAATATTTCCCAGGGACAAGAGGAAATTTGCAGACTGCAGCACTTTCTGTGGTATTTTGTCATTCCACAAAGCATGGTTTGCATAAGATTCCTCTGTCAGGTCATAACATCATGCTTCCATGAGCTTTTCTGTTTTGCTGCTCTCCACTTTTTTGTATTCTCTACGCAGTTATCAAACCACCCTAGTGTAACTAGGATTAAAATACCCCAGTTATGAGGACTAGCCTGCATCTGTGAGCAAGCAAGTCCAGGGAACTTTAATATTTCAGTTTACATAGCGATAAAAACTCCTGGGAGGAATTTCCCTACATTTATCAGTGCTTTAAAATGCATAAATCACAAAGAGCTCCCTTTGCAAACCATCATTGTTTGGCATATATGAATATGGAACTGACCCAGAATAATCCCAGAATAATTATTTTTTAATATATACAGTTTTCAGTCACAGTTACTACTTACATTAAATAAAATATTTGTTTGGCTGAACTAAAACACTTAAATTTTGCTTGATTTGGAATGGATTCCTACTGGTTTGGGGGTTGTTTGCAGCATGTACAAGAGCACTTCAAAATTTTGGTGCAAAGTTTTGCTTCACTCTGAACATAATTAAGTTAGAACTTGTTATTTCTTGAAATAATCCTCATCTGACTGTCATGTGACTGCAGCAACAGCAGCAATAATCATAGGAACAATTATGACAGCAAGAACATCATGCTACAAGGATGGGGAACTGGTAGGGGTACCATATATACTGGTGTATAAGACAACTTGTATACAAGACAAGATCAATATTTTGGGCTATTTTTCTGGTGCTTGCCATATGTCAGGCCTAGAAGAAGACCCCCAATTTTTGCTTTGCTATTTTTGGTTTCAGGGGCTATCTTATATGCTGATAAATATGGTAATCATGTGTGGAACAAGTGACCAGGAAGTATATTTGAGAAAAATACTGTATATATTAGTATTTAAGGCAACTTGCATATAAGCCAAGGTCAATGTTTTGGGTTGTTTATACAAGGTGTGTCCAGAAATAAAGAGAATGATATTTAAAAAATCTTTTATTGAAAAATTTTACAATTGAACATCGTCTCCTTCAAAGTATTCACCTTGTGAGTATACACAACATTCCCACCAATTTTTCCATTCTTCACAGCATTCCTGGAAGTCTTCAAGTGGGATGGCATTCAGAGCCTGCATATTGGCTCTTCACATGTTATCCACACTATCAAAATGGTGTCCTTTCAAACCATTCTTCATCTTGAAAGTCACAAGGAACCAAGTCAGGGCTGTAGGGTGGATGGGGAAGCACCGTGATGTGTTTTTCAGCCGAAAACTCTCTGACAGCCAAAGCACTGTGACTTGGTGCATTGTTGTGATGAAGGATCCAAGCTGAGCCGATCTCAACTTGTGCCATTGGTACACTTGTGCAGATGATAGCGCAGCTTCTCCATAAGCTTTCCTCACCATTCCCAAAGTTTCTGATGTGCTTTTACCCAATTTCACAAAATTGTATTGTGTACCGCTATTCCAAACTCACTTGCATTGTTCTTCATATGAGGCACTTGAACAGGGTGTCATAAAAAAGAATCTACTGGCTCTGACAGGGCTGGAATGCAACTGATCAGTGTTCTAACATGTACCTGGCACCCCACCCCAAGTAACCTGGACCAGCTTCTCCCTACACAGAGCCCTTCTCAAGTGTAGGGACTTCATGCTCATTACTTTCTGGACACACCTGTATATGTTGGGGGTATAAGATGACCCCTTAATTTTTGCTTTGCTACTTTTGGCTTCAAGGGTCATCTTATACACCAATATATATACTATTTCAAAAGATGCTCATTCAATCTCAATTGGAAAATTATCTCTGAATTAGAGATTAGGAAATTGGATAAAGGTGTAAGGATATTCAGATAGGTATTTTAGTTAAATTCTCATACCTTCTTGCTTTGTTTCAGGAGTATTGATGTGGGAGACATTCAGTGAAGGCAGATTGCCTTATGAGAACAAGACCAATGCTGAAGTTGTGGAAGAAATCAGTGCTGGTGCCCGTCTATATAAGCCCAGACTAGCCTCCAATACTATTTACAAACTCATGCAGTGTTGCTGGAGTGAGGTCAGTGATGTTATAGGTGCAGCTTATTTCATGCGAGGTGATAGGCATATCAGAAGGTCCAAGGCAGTGCTGATCTGCTCATAAAGAGGGTGCAGGGAAATTACAGTAACTCCATTAAGAAAAATACCCTGCAGATTTAGAATGTATTGATGGTCAAATATTTGAGAAGTTGAACATTAATCTATGGAAAATAATGTGTGCATGATATGACTTTCAGTGAAGCTTCAGTCTGAAAGGTATCAGACTAGGTGGATGGAATATTGAAGACTGGGCAGAAGCTATCATGATGGAGAGGGCATTGTGTTAATGCCGTACACAAGAATTCTGAGGGACCAGAGCAAGTGCCATTTCGACTGTGCATCTCTCGCAGATGTGTCTTCTTTTCATTTATACTGTACAGAAGGCACATGGGGCCTCATCCAAATCATGAAAGCCCCCAACCTTCTGCAGTGGGGCTCCGGCCAGGCCCTAGCACCTACTCTACAGTAAAAATGTGGGGAGATAGAAAGCTGCTAGATGCACATCCCTTTGTGTGGGGGTGGTGGGGGAAGCTTATGCAAGCACTGGTCAGGAGGAACTGGCCTCAGACAATCTGAATTTTCTAAGCCTTCCCAAAGACCAGTTGTTGGAGGAGCCTTCGAGGAAGGCAATGACTCTGAAGGAAGCCATTTTATCCACTACTGAAGGCTGGCTTCTGATTTTTGTTGCAGCATTAGCTCAGGCGCTTTCTCAAGTAATGTGTCACCTCACTGTCTTGTTGCTTGAACTCATACTATTGATCAGCTGCTCTCAACAACTTGTAGTTCTCCTGCTGCACGTTAATTCTACTCAGATCTTGACCAGTAGTGATGGGAGCTCAGCTCAGCCAGAACAGCAGGGCAAAGATCAGCATATGGACAACTACCAAGCTCCAGGAGTCTTGGGGGCAATAAAGATCTCAGAGGTTCCTGCTTGATTTTTCTGGTCAGGGTGTTCCTCTGTCCCAGCTGACATGCCTTAAAGGCTGCAGGTTGCTGTGGCTCCTGATCTGAGGGACAGGTAGCAAGAATGTAAGTCAAGAATCACAGAACCCAAGGCTGGTCTTGCTGAGCCAGCACCTTTCTCAGGTTGCAGGGTGTAAGGAGGTGGCAAGACAGAGCACATAAGGAAATGTATCTTCTTTCCACACTTCCAGCTAACATGCGGTGGGGGAACTCACACATCTGATTCTTGTAGCTGTAAATATATAAGAAGCATATGCATGTCCTCATGGGGCAGATGCACTCGAACACTTACAGTACAAAATATGCTCTGCTTTTCCAAGAAAAATGCCAAAACTATATCCTCTGATCTATATTATACCACATATGGGTGGGAAACAATAGAGAAAGGGAGGACATGGAGGCATAGGTATGCACTGGGGAAGAATATTTAATTATTGAATTATAAGATATTCTTTGGCTAAGTTACAGTAAGGTGTAGCCATCCGAACTCAGAGGATTATGGCCAACCAGTGGAGGGTGGCAAGAGCAGCAGGCAACAACTTGGCCATCTAATTCTTCTGGCCTTGTGTGCATGGAGAACAGGCTGAGGCGCCACCAGGATACGCTATATCCTGCAGGTGCCTTTCTCCTCACCTCCCTGCACCTGTAGAACAGTCATCAACCTCTTAGGTCTTCTCTCCCCCAAGCATCAGGCAGCAAAGAACCACGCTCACTGGGAGAGTGGAGGGAAGGTACTCCAACGCTGAGGGCCCTGCTCTGACTTCCAAGCACATTTCTGCCATTGGTGCTGGGACTTGGCCTCCCCTATGGCTGTCTCGGCTTCAGTGCACATTTACACACGAAAGGCCCTGTAACTCCCTGAATGCCTCATCCAGCCAAGCAGCCTGGGAAATGTTAGGAAGCACAGGACTTTTCTCTGCTTAAGCCTACACAGGGTTTCACCTTGCACAGTCACGAGGGTGACTTTGGCCCATCCTTTGTCCATGAAAACACATCATACTTGAGAATGTGCCACTTATGTTGTTGTTGTTTATTTCATCTCTATACTGCCCATAGCCAAAGTGCCTGGTTCACATTTATAGTTAATCCTATAGAAAATATGTTTGCAAGAATGTTCTATGACAGAGTTCAATATTTGTCTCATAAGGTAGGGCCACATTCAAACAAAAACTTTCTCTTGTTTCACGGTGACTTCACCCATCTTATTTTGAGCCAGCACTTTATTGACTGGTGAGAGGGGCTTCCTTTGCTTCACAGGATAGTACTCAATCCCCACCCTCTGCTTTTTCCTTCAGAAGCCAGAACACAGACCTTCCTTCTCAATCCTGCTGTACCAGCTGAATGAAATCTTTGAATCGGAGCTTTAGCAAAAAGTGAAAGGACTCTGAGAAAATACGAAAAGCACGCTCAGTCTTACGCATGCACTGGGCAGAGGTATCCATCACTGGGATCTTCTAGAGGCAGCCAACTTGGAACAACAATTTCAACAGGAAACTGGCTTCTGTCTTTTAAGAATACTGCAAGATGCTTTCTGGGTTGTGCCTGATAATCCGATCAACTGTTCGTTTTACATGGTGACGGTGATGGTGAGAGTAGCGATGAGGACGACAACAAGAGATCTGCCACTGATTTAGAGAGCAGAAACTTTTCCTTTAATGGTAAACATTCCCATCTGAAGGGAAGCTAATGATTTTGACCTTCCATACCTGCTCAACACTGAAAGAGAAGAGACAGTTGTTTATATATAAAAAAAGTTCTTAACAGCACATTTAAAGTGTAATCTTAAAACAAAACTATTTGGATCAACGGACTACATAGGTCCAACAGGGACATCAGGGACTAGTCACTTAATCGTGTACATTGCAAAGGTTACAAGGGGAAGGGTGCTTGCTCTTAGCCCAGTTCTACAGCTTGTTAATCTTCCAATGTGCCACAATACATTAAAAGTGTGGGGGCAGGATAGAAAATTCTACCCTAAGCTGAGTTTGCTGGTGGGAAGAACAGTTCTCATATAATGCCTGGCAGACCACCTGCAGGTGGCATTCTCGGGAAAAGCAGCTGTGGAGAGTGCTTCTTATTAGTTTAATATCCACTGATGTGGTACCGGGAATAATTGCAATTTAATCCCTTTGTATGTGCAGTTATATGCATGATGGGCAGTCACACACATTTTAAAAAGTAGATGTAAATAAAGCCTGTAAATCCACCACAACTGAGCATTAATTCTGAGCTCAGAATGAAGATCCTTTTATGTTGCTACCTGAAAACACATCAGAAAAATTAACCCATTATTTACTTGATTACAGAATGCTTTGCATGAACTTAGTATTTTATCTGAAAGTAGCTTCTTTCAGGTAGAGGAGAATATCATCAATCTAGAGTAGGAAACTTAAGCAAAAATCAGGCTTTGTGCTAAAATATTCAGGGAAAAGGGAAGATCAGGAAAAGTCATGGCATTTTAAAATTTAATTCCATTTCTTTTTGTTTCTTAGGTATTATGTAAGTAAAAATGGTATTGGTAAAAGACTGAAAACTATGTAATGATTACAATGACCCATTCTTTTTCTCTTTGCCAAATATAACAAACTACTACATTCTTTTTCACTTCACCTTTCTGTGAAGGAATTTTTAATTAGGGATTTTTAAATTTTATTTTGAGGTGGCTCCTCCTACTGTCACTGCTTTTCAGTTCACTATTTTTGTTTTCAAAATGTGTCAGTAATCTTCCATGTAAATACTATCATTACATAATGTTTCAATGTACATATTTGGATTTAATAAGTCTAAACTGAGCACCGAAGAATTGAGGCCTTTGAATCCTGCAAGTTCCTTGGACTGCAAGGCGATCAAACCAGTCAGTCCTAGAGGAGATCAGCCCTGACTACTCAGATACTGAAGATGAGACTCAAATACTTTGTCCACCTCATGAGAAGGAAGGACTCCCTGGAGAAGAGCCTAATGCTGGGAACAATTGAGGGCAAAAGAAGAAGGGGATGGCAGAGAATGAGGTGGCTAGATGGGGTCACTGAAGCAGTCGGCGTGAGCTTAAGTGGACTCCGGGGGATGGTGGAGGGCAGGAAGGCCAGGAGGAATGTTGTCCATGGGGTTGTGATGGGTCAGACACAACTTCGCGACTAGCAACAAATACTGTTATCTGCTATCAGATTGTCTCTGATTTATGGCAGCTCTATGAATAGATGCCTTCCAAAATGTCCTATCTTTTACCACCTTGCTCAGCTCTTGTAAATTCATGGTTGTGGCTTCCTTTATGGAATTGATCCATTTTATAGTTGGTCTCCTCTTCTGCCTTTCTTTGCATTATTGTCTTCTCCCATAGATCTTGCCTTCACATGATGTCCCCCAAAGTACAACAGTTTTGTAATGTTTACTTTCAGGGAAATTTCTGACTTGATTTCATCTAGGACCCACTTGTTTGTCTCTCTGTCATTCCATGGTATTTGCAAAGTTCTTGCTGAGCATCATGTTTTGAATGCATGTTTCTTGCTGACAGCTTTCATCATGTTACAGCTTTAAAAAAACCCCTTAGGATGCAACATATCTTCTATTTAAAGATTTTTGTAAAGATTGTAAAGTAGTATGTTGATGGATGACCTTAAATAAGAACACACACATATGTACACAATATAATCCAGCAAGACAGCTTCATATTTAAGCAGCCCTCTGTGTGCATTGTTAGTATAAATGCACATGAACTACTAACATACAACTACAAGCTGGATTTTGCCCAAGCGGAATTATGTGGAATAGAGAATTAATTCCAGAGTAACATTTGATCTGTCTGAAGTAGTCATTCCATTTGGAGAGGTTTAAATAAATAATCGTTCCTGCTACAATTGTAATGCAGAAAGAAAAGCTTATTTAAATTCAGAAATCTACTGAGTTTAAAATTACAACTTCTGTAAACTGCCCAGAGAACATTGTTATTGGGTGGATTAAGCAGGTGCTTAATCTATACAATTTCATATTTACGTCGGAGCAAGCTAGAGGAAATTAAGGAATCTAGTATATACAAGTTGAAAATGATTCATGTACTGAAGTGTCTTCCCTTGCAAAGAGCACTTATGCTTAAAATACTTTGGAAAATCTGGAAACCAGCTTGTGAATAAACATTTATGTTTTTCATTTCACGAGCCCTCTTTGGTGCAGCCCTCTTTGTACTGTCATAATATACTCTGAAGAACATTTTTGTAAAACTGCTTTGTTTCAAGCAAGCACTACAGACAGAAAGCAAGCAAACCTGAGTGCAGTGCTGGGAAGAAGTGGGCCAACATCTACTTTGGTTTGGTCACAGAATAATAAGGACATGAGCATCATCTGTCTATAAAGTGAGAACCTAGAATGCTTTGCTGGCTTTTTCCCAATCAACTTTGTTTATCTCAACAGTAACAATATCTATTCATGTATAGTAGTAAGTAGTAGCCCTTCCGTCAGCCAACATAGTTTGGAAATGGTCCTTGCTAAGAAGGGGGCATGTCTGAAAGTCCAATGATCTTGGAAGCACAGGGGGTTGCCTTATCTGGAGACCATGGGGCCATCCAGTCCAGTGCTGACAGCAGCTCCCCAGAGTTGCAGGCAGGAGTTTTTAAGTCCTACCTGGAGATACTTGGGATTAAACCTAGGGCTTGCTGGATTAAACAGCAAACCTGTACTGTCTCACTAAGCAACTGTCTTGCCTGGTAAATGATCGTGCAGTGTTGTCTAGAAATATCAATGAGATGTGTTCTAACTCATTCTTAATGGCTTCCAATATATTCATGTTTGCATCATGCAAATGCGTATGCATGTCTTTTACTTCATAGAAGGGGAGCAGAATGCAATCCCATTACAGTTAATAGGATTATTCATCTGCGTAAAGACAAACCTGTACATCTTTTCAAGTTTCCCTCCCCAGGGTTCTGTAATGTGAGATTTAAATTGCCATAAAGGCTGATTCTGCAAAAAGAGACAAAAATACTGACAGTATTACTCTTTCTTTGTATCCATAAAATTTTAAAGGAGTTTGGGAGGCCGGGACATTGCATTCCATCTTTACTACAGATGAATCATTCTCATCTATACCTCAAAGTCATGAGTTAGCTTATGCAGCAGAAGAATGCAGCCTTTAACTATTGACACTAGAAAAAGAGCCAAGGTATCATAGAGGTTAAAGCTACCACTGGCTACAAGTCATAGTGACTATCTATTACTCATCCTTCTGCAACCAGGTGCCTTCCAGATGTTTTGGATGTTAGCTCCCAGGACTACCCACTGTGATGATCAAGAATTTTGGAGTTATACATTTAAACATTTGGAGGGCAGCTAACTGAGGAAGGCTGAATTACTAGCTCCAGTACCAGAGGTGGAATGCCTCTGAATATTGGTTGCTGAGCAACACGAGTGGAAAAGTGCTGAATCTGTGCATATGTCCAGCTTGTAGTGTCCATGTAGGTTTCTGGTGAACAGAATGCTGAATTAGATAGGCCTTTCACCTGATCCAGCATAATTCTGTCTGTATGAAGGACTAGAGGGATCTGATGCATATTTTTGTTGGTTATGCACAACCAAAGATGCTTTTGTCAGCAAGTGGGTAATAGGAACATAAAGCAGTATGTTGCTTCATAAGGGAAAGCTAATGCCTGGGTTCAACTAAGATGAGAAGCCATGGTGGGGGTTTTTTTTAAACCATTCTTGGTGTGTTGTATTTTTTAAACCCAGCTGTGGCATTTCGTTATGGTAAGTTTGGTCTTTGAAAATCCCACTAAGAAACAAAACTGTTCTCTAGTTGCTCCATATTATCATAACTTGCCATGTTGTCCGAACTCAGGATTGTGGTTTCCACAGTCCTTGTACAAAACTACCACAGAGTCCCCTGGAAAGAGCAGCCTCTCTAGAAACCGCTCTAGCTATCCAGCCTCCACTTTCCTTTCCTGCCTAGTAATAGATATGCAGACAAATGAGGAAGAGGCAGACAATATAGGCAGGAAGCAATAGGGCTGGGAATTGAATTTCAAGTGTGGTGGCTAATGGGTACATGCCAGCACTGGAAGGACTGAGTGGGAAGAATGGAAACCATGAGAACCTAGAAATCACTTGATTGTCTGTTAGGTAAAGCATGTTTAAAAAAAACAACTGGTTGTTCATTGTGTTGTGCATGAACTCAGTCAATATAGAATTCTGTGGGGCAATGTTTTATCTCCTTGATTACCTCTCTTCAGGTGTTCTTTTTCCCACGTTGAACAAATGTACAAGGAGATCCTGTGTAAAGTCTCTGTGGATGCAGGAGAGTCCAATTGTTACACTCCACACACACAGCAACAGCGGAGAAGAGGACTGAGCGCCTGGAGTGGAGTGCTCCTCTCTATGGACTTGCATGGGATACTACAGGATGGAGAATGTCTGAAGAGGACTTCAATGCACCGTTTTAAAGCTGGGGGATCTAAAGTTGGTTCTGTGGTGCCCCCCAGGCTCCCTGCTCCTCCTGCTTTTTGTTTCTTAAAATTCACACTGGGTGGGTGCCATGCACACTGCAAAACAAACGCTGTGCTCCGGTATCATCTTTATGTAGCCTCAAAGAGTGGTTTTGTGCTTCAGAGCCCAGCTGGCATCCCTGCCTTGTATTTCGAACCTTGAGCAAGTCTCACCAGTCTGCTTCCTGAAATGAGTGTTTTGTGACTGGCTGTGCTGGCCAGGTTATGAATGAGCAGGTCCCTTCATGGTAACCATTTTGGAAGAATACCTTCAATGAAATCTCAAAATTCCAAATGCACCCACTGGCCCAAAGAAGTTAGGAGCCCATTTTAAAGGCTCCTGGTCTATCGTTGTTGTTGTTACATCAAATTACAGTCACCATTTTTCCACTTGTGAAGATCCCAAGAAGGCTTACATATTCTTCCTCCCTAACCCTGACCCTGACCCAACACTAACCCTGTGAGGCAGCGGAGTCTGAGAGTGTCTGGCCCAGAGTCACCCAAAGAGGTTCATAGCCAACTGGGAACTAGAAACCAGATCTCCTGGGTCCCCAGCCAAACAATCCAACTACCATACCAGCTCTCCCTGCATCTTCAGGAAGGCCTTTCCTGAGCAATCCTAATCTCATCTCAACGTCACTACCTCATACTCACTGTCCCTGTCCCTATTTCTTCCTCTTTGTTGTTGCTGTTATGTGCCATCAAGGGGTCTCTGGCTTATGGAGAAATGATGAATGAAAGCCTTCCAAAATGCCCTGTCCATGACAGATCCATTCAGCTCTCCCAAACTCAAGACTGTGGCTTCCTTAATATATTCAATCCATCTCATATTTGGTCTTCCTTTTTCCCTTCTGCCTTCCTTAATATATTCAATCCATCTCATATTTGGTCTTCCTTTTTCCCTTCTGCCTTCACCTTTCCCTGACATGATTATCTTCTCCAGGGAGTCTTGCCTTCTCATGTGCCTGAAACATGACAGACTCAGTTTTGTCATTTTTGCTTCTAGGGAAAGTTTATTTTATTTATTTATTTATTTATTTATTTATTTATTTATTAAAACCTTTTTTCTGGCTTGCTTTGATCTAGGACAGACAAAATACATCTTTTCCAACACCATTCTGTTTCCCCATATTCTGTCCTCAGAGTAGCTTCTTGCATAATACAGATTATGCACCAGAACAACCAAGTGCTGAGGCACTCTCATTTCCTTCTGAACCCCCACAGCTTGTCATGATCCACCCAATCTGCTGTTTTCCTGAAATTCTTTAGTGTGCTCCAGTAACCAATGTATATTTGCAATATGATCTCTACTGCCTCTTCCTTTTCAGAATCCATTTTGGACAGCCAGGTTTTCTCACTCCATATAGGGTAGTATTCCACGTTGCCACACTCTGCTGGCCTGAGAAATTAACACTGCACTCTAAAGGTGCTGCACTCTTTTTCATCTCCTTTCTTGGAGACTGGAATATCTATTGAACATTTTTACTCTATGGGCCACTGTTTTGTTTTCCAATATTTGTTGACATACTTTTGTTAGGTGTTTGATTGATTTTTTGCAGGTTGGAATAGTTCTGTTGGTCTCCTATCTACTCCAAGTGCTTTAATTTTTGCAAGTGTTTTCAGAGCAGCTTTCACTTCACTTTCTAATATTGTAGGCTTTTTCTCATAAGATTCTTTTTCGAAGAAGTTTGTTATCCTTTCATCTCTTGTGTGTAGTTCTGTATATGCTTTTCACCTTCTCTTTATTTCCATTTGGTTAGATAGTATTTCCCTCATTTGCCTTTTATCATTCTTAATCTAGGTTTGAATTTCCCTTGGATTTCTTGGATCTTCAGGAAGAGGTCTCTTGTTTTTCCTTTTGTCGTTGTTCTCCTCTATTTCTTTGTATTGGTAATAGTTCTTTTTGTCTCTGAGTGATAGTCAATGAAAAGTTGCATTCTGGACTCTGACTGGGTTTCCATCACCTTTTGCTTTCACTTCTCACCTGTATTTTGCAACTGTGTTTCTTCTGTCATCCATACAGCCCCCCCACCAGTGCTACAGGAATTGTCCTTTAGCATTCTTCCCTAATAATCTCTGGTTTCAGTCCACAGTTCGTCTGGCTCATGGTCAATTAAGCTGTTTAATTGATTTGTTTTTTTATGTGAACTTTAAACTCTTCAGGAATGTTACTTAAGTCATATTTTGGTACTATACCATATTTTCCTTACATAAGATGATACTTTTTCTTAAAAATATTTATACATAAAAATGGAGGGGTGTCTTATACATGGGAGGGGCGAGAGGAAAACTGCGGGCGCACTCGGGGGGGGACTGGCAGGATCGCGGGTGTGCTCGGGGGGGAGGCAGGCATGGGCGCAATAGGGGGGAGGTGGGTGCTGGCATGGGTGCAATTCGGGGGGAGACTGGCTCAGGCGTGTGTGTGCAGGAAGGCTGGTGCAGGCGTGCCCGTGCGGGGAGGCAGCAGGAGCATGCACACAGCAGCAGCTTGCTCGCTCACTCGGAGAATGGTAAAAAAGTGGGGGGCGTCTTATAGATGGAAAAATATGGCTATTTCTGTTAGAGTTCCTTTTTGGCTTGACTCTGATTTTTGAAATCAAGAGCTGATGGTCACTCCTACATTCTGCTCCTGGTCTTGTTTTGGCAGCAAGAATACAGCTTCTCCACCTTCTGCTTTTAATTACATAATCTATTTAATTTCTGAATTGCTCATCTGGTAAAGTCCATGTATGCAATCATCTGAGAAGCTGCTTTAAGAGTATGCTTGCAATGAACAGGTTGCTGGCATCACAAAATTCTAGGAGTTGTTTTCCTGCTTCATTTCTTATCCCCAGGCCAAATTTCCCTACAGCATTTGATTCTGCTTTGTTTCCAACTTTTGCATTCCAGTCATCTAAGATTAGCAGAATGTCATCTCATGGTGTGTTATTATTTTCTTCTTGAGCACCAGCACAGAAGTTTTCCATTTTTTTTCTTCTTCAGCATCTGTTGTGGGAGTCACAACTGAAAAGGCTTTTCAGAATAACCAGCTGCTTGAATTCCAGAAAAAGGCCCATGGAGAAGTTAAGAAATAGTCCTACTCTATAGGCACATTCATGTGGTCATTTGGCCCCAAGCTGTCCAGGGTTGTGAAGTCAAGCACATAAGTTTTGATACAGACTGGAAGCGACTGTCAAGGTTTATCAGTCAGCCTAGCAATTCAGCAGCTGTATTTTGGACTAACTGCAGTTTGCACTCTGTCTTCAAAGGCAATCCCATTACAATCCTGCCTTCAAGGGTAATCCCATTTACTCTTGTGCACGGGTTACTTGGGACTAGATAATTATGGTATGTTTGCCTAGGAGGGACCACAGCGGCGAACTAAGGACAACATTTTACAAACTTTTGCAATAAATAACGTGGATGCCAACCCTCCCAAATAAAGTTTATTATCATGCAGGTTTTCATGTAGCATCAGAGGGATATTACATTACATTGTATTGCTATTATTACATTTGACAATATGAAAGGAGGAATGAATAGTCACCCACTTCAAGAAGAAAACTCAGCTCATCTACCCAATGTAAATCGCATGCAAGTTTGTGCAACGCCACCCTCCCGCGCACGCACCGCAGATGCCATCCATCTAAGACCGGGCATCTCTCCCTTTTTGTTTGCTTTCGCCGTCTGCTTTGACGAGGAACGTCTTCAGACACGCTGCACAACGGAGCTGAACAGAAAACAGGCCCAGGCGTCTGACGAACAGGTGCAGTTGCCTGTTGGGGAGGGAAGAGCTGCACGGGAGGCGTGCATGCGCGCGGGGGGGGGGCAGCTCTTTCTGTCGGTCTGTCTCCCCTTGGGGCGGGGATGGTGGTGAGTTCAGCAGAAGAGCCAGCTCAGGAAGTGCACAGGCTGCAGTCATTTCCTGCTCTGTGTGCGCGCGTGTGTGTTTGTCCGTGCGTGTGCGCGCGTGCGTGGGGGGGGGCTGCTTCGATGCACCCCGTGCGTGTGCGTGAGCGCGAGCGCGAGCGCGCGCGACACAAATAGATTCGGTCGGCAGCGGAGCGGGGGGGCGACGGCGGAGGAGGAGGAGGGAGGAGGAGGAGACTGCCGAGCGGTGGCGGCTGCAGCAGCGCCTCAGCATCTCTGCCTCCTTCCTTCCTTGCCTGGCTGCTGCTGCTACCGCAGCAGCATCCATCCCGCGCGGAGGCCGGCCGGAGGCCAGCCGCATCCTCGCCGCCACTGCCAGGTAAGAGAGGAGGCTTTCCCTACTCCGCCCGGCCCTGGGCATCATGGCACGGCGCTGGCCGCATGGCTGGAGAGCCACCGTCGCGCACGAGGCGGAGGGGCCGTGACTGCGGTTCCCGGGGAATGGGGTGGGGGATCGCCTTTTGGCGGCTTCCTCCGCTCGGGAACTGTCTGTGGCCGGCGGGGTGGCGGCGGCTGGTGCTGTGGGGGGCGGGAGAGAGAGAGAGGGCAGGAGAGAGGAACGGGCGGGCGGCTGCTGCGGAGTGGCAGGTGCGATTCGGGGGCTGCTTCTGCCCTAGCGACAGAAATTGGGAGCTCTCCCCGCCCTCCCCCGCCCGTTCATTCATCCGCTGCCGGCCTCCCCAGCGTTGGCGACTGTGGGGAGGGGGCCGCGCTTTGATGGGGCGGAGGGTCCAGGCAGCGTCGTCCAGGAAGGCTCCCTGCGTGCAAGATAGGAAGCTGCCCGCTAGGAGCTGGATGTGACAGCTTTGCGAGGAAGGGCGGCTCGGCATGAGACTGCAAAGCTCTGCCATGATTCCAGCCGTTCCGCAACAGGCTTCTAGCCAGACCCCAGGCTTCCTTCTTTCTTTTTCCCTTGCCCCCCCCCACTTGGGGTTGGCCATCTGCGAAGAAGGGGGCAGAGGGGGAGGCGGTAAGTAGGTGCAGGTGCTGCTGCCATTCTTCTGCGAGAGACTGTGTCCAGCTTGGCCCCAAGGAAGACTTTTACAAGAGATATCCCAGAATGCTTAGAGCTACCTATGATATTCAAGGCCTCCTTGTTTATTATAGTGCACCAAGTAACACCATATGATCAGTTTTACTGATGGGGATTCCTGTTGTATGACAAAAGTGATCATCCCTAAAACGCTCAATGACATGACACGTTTATTCTATCTTTCATAAGAAGCAAAATCTGTTTCACTAAGGCATAGTTTTGAAGATCAAGTCCTAATCATTGGCTAATAATTTACCAATAATTTAGCCATTGGATTTTTTTTTTTTAAGTTGGAAAATTGAAGGTTCAGGGCATAGATGCAGATGTAGGAGGGGAATGGAAAATGCTCAGAGGGAAATTATTTGGATTTAGGGCAAGCATGCACATTGCCAAAGCAGAAACACTAAAAAAGATGACGAAGTGGCAAAGATGAAAAAATAATCAAAGTGACAATATAGTCTGTGAGTCACACTGGAAGAAAAAAACAGTTAGAGCAAATGGGAATTATGGGCATGGACCTTGAGGAATAAGGGTTGCTGCAAACCACTCAAAAGAAACTTTGGATTGAACAAAAATAAAGCAATCCCGGTTTTTCATTCCCTTCCTCTCTCATATCAACATTCCATCCCTTAGAATACATGTTAAAACATCTCTATATAGAAGTATTTCTCTGAGTCAAACTTTTGAACCGACAAGGTGTGAGTGGGTTGGAAATGAGCTAGCTTGTTTCAAGTGCCAGGACAGTCCCAAATGACAGAAGATGAATGCATTTTGCATAGAACTGCTCCATAAGGCACAGCTGAGAAAAAATGAGAAGAGGACAAATAGAAATGGCTGCATGTTGATGGAGTTTCTCCTGGCTTATTTTAGTGGGTGTCCAGTAGAAGCTAAATTTAAAGAAAGGGCCCAGAAGTTGGAGTCTGCAGACAAGAAGGAAATTGCTCTTAGCGATCCAGCAGAGCCCCCTGGGCCATCTGCTGTAGTTTCTGTGTTGGTTAGAATTGTAGGATTTCACAATGAGGATTTGAAGTCAGGAGTTTGAACTGTCCTGTGGCCGGTGGAAATGGAAAGAAAGACATGCAGTGGTCAGGTGCAACAGTAGACGTTTCTGCATATTGAGTTGGTGAAATGTGTGTTGTCAGCTGTATCCAACTCTTGTTAAACCATGCTTTGCTCAACACATTTCTCAAAGTGGGAGATGTACTTCTCCAAAGAAGTGACCAGGGACTGCTAACTATACCAACTGTCTATACACCTATACATCAATATGACAGAAGCCTCCCTTTATTTTAATAGTAGTGCACGAATGTGTCTCTCTGTGTGTGCCATCTAGGGCAGACTTCCCCAGCCTAGTATTCTCCAAATGTTATCAACTTCAATCCCTGTTAAACTCAGCCATCATGGCCAATGGTCAAGAGTTCTCGGCATTGTAATCCAAAGCATTTGGATGAATTATGATCTAGGCAACCTTCTTTCTTGAAGATCTGTTTGCTTTCCTGGCATCCCACACGTTTTTCAGCTTCCAGTTTTTATTTGGTTTTTTAGACTCATATTTATTTAGATATATATTTCCCCCTCAACTTTCAACCCAGGCAAGCCCCCAAGGCAGCTTACACTCATAACAGACAAACTAACAAATATAAAAGAGAAACTAAAGTTAGGGGAACAAAAATGAAACTTGAACTGCAGTCATTCACACACTTACCAGTAGATTATATCTGTGTGTAGTTATGCATGGGATTCTACTGCTCATCTCAGAATAAGAATCAAAAACCTCCCTTAAAAGTTGCACAATTCTTGATTGGCTTCCAGTCCTTCATTAGAAATTGAATACAGGATGCAAAACTGGAAAGGCCATACATACAAATAAGGAGCATGGATATGCTTTTAGAACTGTTGGGTACCTGTCAATTATTTGGCAAGAACTACATTGGAGAAGCGGAAATGTTTGTTCGCTTACCTAAGGCTAAATGTACATGAACACTGAATTGCTGCATGGTGGATGTTCTAACTGTTGAAATCTGGCCATCCTGGTAGCACAGTAATGGCAGCTACCAGTCAGCAATTTAATTTATTTTAGAGTATATTTATGCCACTGGTTAATTAAGATTGGGAGCATGAGGAGGAGAATGACGTAAGCCACTTTGAGTTCAAAGGGGCAGGATGTTAATCTAATAATAAATAATAAGGGACACTTTCAAGGTGCCTTATGAATATGCAGAAATTAAGAATATAGAAGGAAGAGGGGGGAAAGGATGTCTTTCAGGAGGGCTGATGGAATGACCCTGCTTCCCCATCTCACCTCCCTCAACACAGCTGGTTGGAATGGCTTTGGGTGGTGTCCATCGAGGGAAGAGGTTTTGCTTGAATCCTCCAATGGAAGATTCACTGTGCCAAACTCTGAGGCATTATGCTGTTAATATAATTAATTTATCCACCACCATCAGTGTTAATGGCACTTTACAGAGTATAAGAGGACAAGCCTCTTTCAGGAAAAATTTATAATGGGACAACATTTATTTTTTCAGGTGTAATGCTAAAGTATGGTTTAGCATTGAACTTGATGGTCTGGGAGGACCCTTCTGACTTGCTTTGTTTCTAAATCTTGGTCTTTTGCTCAGACTCCTCTTGCATGGCAGCAAGGAAGAAATCAGAAAGTTTTGATTCCATTTTCAATTAAACTAGTTTTATTTTGTCCTAATCCAGGTTTCTGATTAAATTATGGTTTTCCTAAGCCATGATTTAGGGAAATAAGCCATGATTGTAAGTAATACTAGCTTTCCTCTAAACCATAGTTAAGACTAATGATATTTTGTTTGTTTTGGGGGTAATGAGTTATTGTGGTTAATTGAAAACAGAAGTGAAGGCTTCCATTTTTTTCTTCTTCATGGCTGCACTAGAAAGGAGAAGGGAGAAAGAGCTCATTATCCCAAGTGTTGTTTACATTATGCCCTGTATGAAAATGCAGCCATTGCTTTTTCTATTACAACATGCTTCTATTAGAAAAGTATGTTCTATTTCTCCATTATAAAAAAAAATCATAAAGCTTTATAGACAACAAAAAAGGAAATGTTTTCAAATAATTGTGTGACTGTTTCATTACCTAAATTAATCATTGTAGACAGTAGTTTTTTTATCGTAGGAAGTAAGGTGTCACGAAAGGAATTGGTTTAATTATATATCATCCATCAACGAAAATTATGGATAAAATTTCAACCAAAGAAAACAACGGTGTTTCTAAAACTCTGCTTGGGTCCCCTCATAGTTCCTTCCACTCTAAAGTGCTTTTACTGTAAAATATGTGAAGGAGCACCTCTCTCCCCCTCAACCCCTCTGTACTGTGAGATCCTCAGGGGAGGCTCTTTCGTATGCACCCCTTTTAGAAGGTGCAACTTGAGAGAGCTTTTCTGTGCCCTGATTGTGAACACTCTTTCCATAGAGCTACAACGCTTATTAGTACCACCATCTTTTCATTATCAAGTTAAAACTTTTTTGTATGTCCAGGCATTTTCATGTCAGCCTGAATATTTCGGCTGATTCTAAACCATTTGAGAGTGCTGATGCTGTTTTATAGTGTGTGACTATTGGATTGTTGCTTTGATCACATCCCTGAATGCTGCCTTGATGTCCCCAAGAAGGCAGGAGGGCTTTACAGTATTTTAATTGATGGATAAATACAATCCTAAAATGGCAGCATACAGTGGGAAGGAATGTTATCTCGGATAGTATTAGGAGGATTAGAAGTAACACCAAAAATGGTAAAGATAAGGCAACTTATTGATCACTAGCTTGGTTTGCTCGGAGGGCCTTGATGCATGCTAGAGCCCTTCCTCTTCACCCAGTTGCCCTTCCTGAGTAGGTGAGGGATAGGACAGTGGAGGGGAGCAGGGCCAGGGGCCCCTCTTTCCTTATATGTCTGCTCTGTCCAGGTGCAGAACACCTGAACAAAGCTCAGCGTGGGCAGCACTGTAGCCAAAGTAAGGCAAACTCTCCTGAGCTCATTAAAGGGAGGGATGGGAACCAAATGAAGTATATGATAGATAGATAGATAGATAGATAGATATAGATATTTATTTAAAACTTTTTATATACCATCCCATCACTGATGTCTCGGGACAGTTTACAACAACAGCAATAAACTAAGATAAAAAATAAAAGTAGTACAGCTTCCAATAATAACTATAAAAACCATAAATTAAGACAATTAACAATTAAAATTTTTGGAGAATAAAAACGGTTTTCACCTGGCGCCAGAAGATATAGATAGATGATAAATAGATGACAGA